TCGCTCGTCACCCGTTGCACGTCGCCCGTTGCCCGTCGCTCGTAGATCTGGTTTCTAAGATCGTCGATCGTGCCAAATAGATATTGCCCCGAGCTGTAGAGCGGTTCCGTGTGAGATCTAAATGTGAGAAATGTTCCAGGCAGTTCAGCTAAGAACGCGCCTTAAAACCCAGATCCCAAGTTACGAGGCGCGAGGTTTTTTGTCAACAATTTCGGAAGGGGTCTGAGTGGTTACCCTGTAAAAAATTGGAACAGAGAACTTGTTGGGGGGGGGGGGGGGGTGGAAAAGGGAAGCGTGCGATTGGACGATGGGGGAAAACGTGTTTCGCGACCCGAGCACAGACTCCAACCGAGGGAGAAAATGGCCAAGGGTAAAAGCCGTTGCTTGTAGTTTGGGACAGCCAGAAACCGTTTTGTTCACAAAATGGAGCTACGCGTAGCATTTCCCTCGAGCATCACATGACCCTCGCTAGCCCATTTCTCTCCTTAACGTGCTCGATGGCCTAGCCTTCTAATGCCGTTGACCCAAATTCACTGGCGACCCAATCATCTCGCTTCGCGCAGCATCCTGCTCCTCGCTGTCCGTCGCTACCCTAATCCTGTTTGGCGCCCTCGCGTTCTGACTCCCGTTTCTTGCGAGAGCTGCTTTGAGCTCCCTACATGTGCCCGTTACCTGCTTTCTCCCGCCGTCGGCGCTGGTTGGTTGCATAGCGGGATCCGCTTTCCGCTTCGCGCAGCCCGTGCGACCCGCCGAGTGCACATCGCTCACCCTTTCCCGTGGTCACACCGTCGCACGCTGCTTCCCGCAGCGTGATGAGCAGGGAGGAAGAGAGGCGATAGAGTAGGGAGGAAGAGAGGCGATAGAGCGGGGAGGAAGAGAGGCGATAGAGCGGGGAGGAAGAGAGGCGAAATTCAAATTTGCATTTGCGAGTTTTGCAAACCGATTTCCAGACTTTGAGCTCTCGCCATCCCCGCAGCCAATCGCAAGTCACTAGCCCCAACCCAAGCCGCGCTCTCTTTTCGTGGCTTGTAACTTGGGACCTGGGCTTTAAGTAGTCACCCGCGCATGTTGCGAACAAGAAGAAAATGGTACCGTCGTCGCTAAAGGACGACTCGTCGCTAAAGGACGACTCGTCCTCCCTTCCTGTCTCCTGCTGCTCCCAACGTCCTCCTTCCCGCTTCGCGTTTCCCTCTTCCCGCTGCTTCCCGCTGTCCGCTGCCCGCTGCTCGCTGCCCACTACCACTGCCCGCTGACCGCTGACCGCTGCCCGCAGACCGCTGACCGCTGACCGCTGACCGCTGCCCGCTGCCCGCCGCCCGCTGCCTGCTGCTCGCTTCCCGCTTCCTGTTGCCCGCTGACCGTTGCCCTCTAACCGCTGCCTGCTGCCCGCTGCCCGCTGCCCGCTGCCCGCTGCCCGCTGCCCACTGACCGCTGACCGCTGCCCAGTGCTCGCTTCCCGCTTCCCGCTGCCCGCTGCCCGCTTCCCGCTTCACGCTGCCCACTTCCCGCTGCCCACTGCCCGCTGCCTGCTGCCCGCTGCCTTCTGCCCGCTTCCCGCTGCCCGCTACCCGTTGCCCGCTGCCCGCTGCCCGCTGCCCGCTGCCCGTCATGGGTAGGGCGTCCTTCTGTGCTGCCTCTATTCGTCTCGATTAACACACCGCCATGCTCACCCGGTACGTGATGTGGTCAGAGGTGGTCCTAGTCAGAGGTTGTCCTAGTCAGAGGGTGTCCTAGTCAGAGGTTGTCCTAGTCAGAGGGTGTCCTAGTCAGAGGTTGTCCAAGTCAGAGGGTGTCCTAGTCAGAGGTTGTCCAAGTCAGAGGTTGTCCTAGTCAGAGGTTGTCCTAGTCAGAGGGTGTCCTAGTTAGAGGTTGTCGTCGTCAGAGGTTGTCCTAGTCAGAGGTTGTCCTAGTCAGAGGGTGTCCTAGTCAGAGGGTGTCCTAGTCAGAGGGTGTCCTAGTCAGAGGGTGTCCTAGTCAGAGGGTGTCCTAGTCAGAGGGTGTCCTATGAATGAACCCACTCGATGGCATCGTAGAGAACTGGCAGGTGTTTTGGCCCGTGCAGCCATGCCTTTCCCCTTGTGTGCGCATGCTTATGAACTTGCTGTGTTTCATTTCTACTCGCTCTCCCATTTCCCCTCTCAGCCTAAAGCCCCGCCTATCAACAATAGCGGCGGATAAGCTGGGCGCGTTCGTGGTGTCGGCAACATTCAACGGCAAGCAGACGATTCTGTCTGAGCTGGCGAAACGCTATTCGCCGGCGTCCTCCTCTTTGCTGCTGCAGCTTCTCTTCCACCACATGGGCCTGCCAGAGTGAGTCACCGCAGGCCCTCAAGTGAGAATGATCCATTTTGTGAGATGTCTCAATGGCCAAGTCAATGCACGCCCTCTCCTTGATTCAAAGGAAGAGTGATCCCTATCCTTGTGAGAGGATTTTACTCAAATCTCTCGTCCGCCACATAAGCTTGGCAGAGTGAGCATTGCGTGTAATTTCTACCCTCTTCCTTTACCTGAGCCCACTTCCTGCCACCTCATGCCTTGTGCTTCTCCTCTCTCCCGCCCCCCCTCTCACACTCCCAAGGTACCTGGAGAGCCCAGACGCCTGGCGGAAGCAGCAGCAGCACAAGGAGGGCCTTCGCCGAGAATTCCAAGACTTGCTCCCGGCCCCGCTACAGCCGTGGATGCCTCAGCCTCGCCTACGACTAAGAAAGTGAAAAGTGCGTACAACAGGAGAAAAGGGGGTGATGAGGGGGAAGTGGGACTACATGGAGGGGGTGACATGGGGAGATGGGGGTTTGTTGAGAGGGATCAGGGAGAAATTGGAGCTGGGGAGTGAGATGGCGATTTTGGGGTTCGGTGCTGAAGGTGGGGAGATGGGGCAGGAGGATGTGGATGGCTAAGAAGAGGAAGGTGAAGGAAAAAACAGACGCATGAGAAAAATTTCAAGCTTTTTTTTTTAGTACATTCATGTGAAGCAAACTATTTCTAGATAGTTACACTGTGCTTTGTATTGTCGTTACGGCGTCAGTAGCGGATAAAGCGGAACCTTCCTAGGGTTGTACAGATAGCTCGCGTTATTTTTACACCATTATTTTCACAGGATTTGCCACGGAGAGGGGATTCACCCCCCAAAAACAGCTCCTGAAGACCAGATGCAAATACCTTCGAAAAAAAATTAGCTTGGATTTCTATACGAAGTATTTACTGTTCGATCTAGTGTTTCTCGAGTCGGAAAACCCAACGTCAGCTTAGGCAGTGCTCAGAGTTTTGTTCCACGTGGAGTCTGCCGCACTTAGGCCGTAGGAACAAGGGAGCACTGTCTACGCACTCAGATATGGTCAGCGAATAAACAAATGTTTTCTGCCGCCCAATTCCAGGGTGTAAAATTACCGCGGGCTAAGTGTACCGCTGGTGGAATCGGGCTTTTGACCTTTTCCGGACATGAGAGACGGAGGACTTCTGCAGCTGTTGTTTATCATTCTTGTACCATTTTTTTCCGAGCCAATCAAAGCCTGATCTTTTGCTTCGGGAATGGATTAGTGTGTGATGGAGGGGTGAGGTGGCTGTACATTGTGCCTCGGTCGAGCCTCAAGCCCTAGTGCCGAATTTGAGGCTCGTTTGGGAAACCTGGGCAATCACGACGGTGCTAGTACTGTATCGAGGAGCCAGGTGGCCAACGCTCCCACTAGCCTGTAACAGTTGTCAGGACTTGGAACTGTGTCTGGCAGCTGGATGCAGTGTGTTTCGTCCTGCCCACTGAAATGTCCAGTTGGCTCCGTCGATTCGGGCAGTGTAGAAAGGTTCTCTCGACCCAATCAGCTGATCGAACTTACGTGTACGCTGCAATGTGTAACACTCGCGCTGGATGAGAAGACTGGTTTGAGCGGCCGTGATTCGCGACGACGTCTGGCCCCTCTTCGCACATTTCGCATCTCGTCGCCTCTAGACACGAGCTGCAGAATCTACCTCAGGCTATTGTACGCGGTTCGGACCAAATCACCCAAGTTCACATCTTCCCCGCATTTTCTTGGGGGAAATTATATTACAGGTCACTGATTTTGCCTCTCTAACACAATTAGTCACCTCCGCCATGCGTACGCGCACTTTTTTTTAATAGCAAAAACCGCAGCGCGTCACTCCAAAAACATGGGAGGTCACACCTTTTGGCAATTTCTAACACGAGAGGTCACTCGCCGAATCCCCCGCCCGAACACCACCCGTCTAGCTCCTTTTTCCCGCGCGCGCATTTCTTACTGTTACGATCTTCAATTCCGAATCTCACCGATATTTGTTATCGTACGCCATTGGTTTTCCGCACAAAGGAGGGCCCAAATTTGTTTTATAACGGCAGAGATTGTGTGAAGGTATCAGTGTTTATGATGTTGATTTTGTAATATACGTCTCAACGATCTATCAACATAATAAACATTGATAGCGGCACACAATCTCTGCAGTTATACAACAAATTTGGGCCCTCGTTTGTGCGGAAAACCAATGGCGAATGAAAATAACAAATATCGGTGACATTTGGGTTTGAAGATCGTAACAGTAACGAATGCGCGCGGGAAAAAGGAATGAAACGGGTGGTCTTCGGGCGGGGGTTTCGGCGAGTGACCTCTCGTGTTAGAAATTGCCAGAAGGTGTGACCTCCCATGAAGGAGTGACGCGCTGCGGTTTCCCTTCGGAAGAAGTGCTCGTCCGCATGACGGGGTTCACTTTTGTGTTAGAGAGGCAAAAACAGTGACCTGTAATATAATTTCCTTTTTCTTGAGATTTATTGAACAGTGTATTCAAATAACATGCGTCCTTTTCCTCCCTCCCAAATTCGCATCCAATCTAGCAAGCTTGCAAAAAGCTGAACCGCGCAGCACAGCAGAGCAAATTGGCCGTCCGTGCTGTACAAAGTGAGTGACCGTGTGACCTGCCCGTCCCCCGTCCCCGTCAGTCACCCGTCGCATCCATCTCTTCCATTCCTCCCATCCTCTGTTGTGGCGGTGTGTGTTGCGCTCCCCTCGACCCTTCCGCTCGACCAGTGTGTTGGTAATCCCTCTCATCTCATTACCAAACCGCAGCAATCCTCCACCCCACACACTCTCACCGACCTTCACCGAGGGGCGTGGACGCGTGGTTTCTTGATAAGCCATCCTCGTTCCCCTCACTATCATCCATGTTACCAACTCCTCAAGATAACTTACTCCAGCAGTCGCATTCCAAGGTCAGGCGCCTGGAATCGTAGTCCAATTTAAGGTCAGGCGTCGCGTCGCACGCGCATGCCCGTCAGATGCACGACTTCACCCGCTGCTAAGCCACAATCTTTCGCCAGCAGTAGTCTGCGATCGTCCGACGAATCGTCGCGCGGCTCCCGGTGATCATGACGACGACCGACGATCAGGCGCGAGAGTCGTTCGCAGCAGAGCCGTGGCGCGGCCAGAACGGCCATAGCCAGAACGGGCATAGCCAGAACGCGCATAGCCAGAACGGGCATTCCTCTCACGCTGCTGCTGCTGCTGCTGCTGTCGCAGCCGTGGCGCCGGAAGACGCGGCGGCGAGTGCGGCGTTGATGGCGGAGAAGGAGCAGGACCCGGTGTCGCGGCGCGAGTGGTGGGGGTGGTACGTGTACAACGCGGCGGGCAACGCGTTCTCGCTCGTCGCCATGTCGATCTTCATCCCGCTGCTGCTCGTCTACCTCGCCTCCGCGCAGGTGACGTCACTTTTTGGAACGGTTCGAATCCTCGCCTCCGCGCAGGTGACGTCACTTTTTCGAACGGTTCGAATCCTCACCTCCGCGCAGGTGACGCTTTCGAGGCGCCTCAAAACTAGACTTCTATCACGCGGATTCCATGTCGATTCGATTCATCCCGCTGCTGCTCGTCTACCACCTCGCCTTGCCATTCCACATTCCGCTGCCTTCGAGTATCCTCGTCCCACCCTCGTGTCCTCTCCCTCACCACCATGTCTATCTTCGTCTCCCCTGCTCCTCGCCTACGTCGCCTCCGCGCAGGCCGCCGCGGAAGCCGGCGCGCCGCCGCCGCCGCAGTGCAACGCGACGCTCACGACCAACTGCCTGCAATGCGTCGCGGGGAAGGGGCAGCAGCTGATGACGTCATCTGGGTACGCAAGTTACGACTATCCCGTGCCGCGGAAACGACGTTCGTTAGTAGTAGGAGTCGCCGATTAATCGATTAGTAGGTACCACGCTGCGATGGTTATAGGCTAGAACAAGGTTGTAGCGGGCTGTAGCATATCGCGAGTCGCGACGTTGCTTGGCGACGCGTCAGATGCAGCGGCGCGGAGAACGGCGACACCCTCGGCAGCTGCGGTGGGCGTGTCGAGTCGATGCCCTGCGACTGTCTTTAAGGGTTCGATGGCTCGTCGGTGGGTGAAGGGGTGAAGGGGCAGTGTCTATTCCCTCCTCGCCGAATCCCCCCCACATTTCCCCGTACGCGCCACTGATTTCCCCCCGACAGGCTGTCGTGGATCCCAAGAATTCCTCTCACACTCCCTCATCCCGTGCTGTTTCCCTCCGCCACCCCCCCGCCATCCCCCCGCCATCCCCCCGCCATCCCTCCGCCATCCCCCCGCCATCCCTCCACCATCACCCCGCCATCCCTCCGCCATCCCCCCGCCATCCCTCCGCAATCCCCCCGCCATCCCTCCGCCATCCCCTCGCCATCCCTCCGCCATCCCTCCGCCATCCCCCCGCCATCCCTCCGCCATCCCCCCACCATCCCTCCGCCATCCCCCCGCCATCCCTCCGCCATCCCCCCGCCATCCCTCCGCCATCCCTCCGCCATCCCCCCGCCATCCCTCCGCCATCCCTCTGCCCTCCCCCTTCGCAACCACACAGCCTACAGCACGCCCAACGTGCACGCGGGGTCGCCGTCCATGGAGCCCGTGGCGCGCACCACGGTGGTTATCGGACTCCGTCTCACTAAGGCCCGTGCCCCGACACCCCCTCAACCCCCCCCGTCCTACCCCCTTTCTCTCCCCTTTTCCCAGCTACACGGCGTACGACATGCCGAACGTGCAAGCGGGGTCGCTGTCGATAGAGGCGGTGGCGTGCACCACGTGTAATCATGCAATCATGGGGCTGGCCGTGGTGGTGCAGGCAGATCGTGGGGCTCGTGTGCTTCTCCCCTCATGCCCCTTCCCTCTTCTCCTTACCCCCCTCCTCTCCCCCTCCCCCCCCCCCCCCTTCCCCAGCTACACGGCGTACGACACACCGAACGTGCAAGCCGGCTCATTATCCATAGAGCCTGTCGCCTACACGACGGTGGTCATCGGGCTGGCTGTGGTGGTGCAGATCGTGGGGCTCGTGTGCTTCGGCGCCGAGGCCGACTTTGGGCTCGGGAGATGGCGGGTGAGAGACAGGGGAAGAGGGGGAAGGGGGGGGGTGGGACGGGGGGTGGGACGGGGGGGGGAGGGGGCAGGGTGGGGATGAGAGAGGGGGGATGGCAGATCGTGGAGCTCGTGTGCTTCAGCCTGGCACTGACTTCGGACGGGGGGCAAGGCTGGTAAGTGCCAGTCAGGACGGGGGGCAAGGCTGGTAAGTGCCAGTCAGGACGGGGGGCAAGGCTGGTAAGTGCCAGTCAGGACGGGGGGCGAGGCTGGTAAGTGCCAGTCAGGACGGGGGGCGAGGCTGGTAAGAAGGAGAGGCGGGAGTGGGTGGGGCGGGGTGAAGGCGCAGATGGCGGGTCAAGGGGGGATTTTGGGGGAGGAGAACGGGAGAGAGGGGGGAGCAGGTGGCGAGGAGAAGGAGGGGGGGAGGAGGGGAGGGGGGGGGGAGAGATGAGGGGAGCGGTTGGTCCTCGGCCGAGTATCCCTCTGTTCTTTTGTGCTTCCCTCAGCCTTCCCCGGCATTTGTTCCCCCACTCAGCCCGTGTCTGTGTGTCGCTCCCCCTTCCCCCGCTGGCAGATGCTGCTAGTGGGCACCCTCATGGGCGTGGTGCCCTGCATGCTCTGCCTCGCCCTCACCTCCCCTTCCCTCTGGTGGCTCGCTGGCATTTTTGCCATCGTTGCTAATCTTGGATATGGGATATCGCTTGTCAGCTACAACAGGTAAGCTACAAAGGTAAGTCGTGGCATTAGTGAAGTAACAGGTGTTTTCTCTCCTCCCTTTCCCTCTGGTGGCTCGCTGGTGTTTTCGCCATTATTGGCAACCTTCGACACGGGATATCGCCCGTCAGCCACAACAGGTACCTTGGACCATATCCTGTCTGCCATCATCGGCAACCTTGGTGCCTAAAAGTACCAAGGTTGACGGTACAATGACCTGTATAATATTTTTGCCTCTTCTCTCTGCTTCCCTCGTCTGCCCTATTTCTCCTCACCTCCCCACCGCTGTTCATCCCACCCAAACCTTGCATCCACCCGAACCCCCTTTCCCCGTTTCGAGACTCAGCCCCAACTCCAGGACCTTGAAACTCGGTTCTGTGTCTGGATAACGCGGTGATTTGCCTTATTTCTCAATTCATTTTCCGTACCCCTCTCCCATTCTTATCCCAGCAACCCCCTCCATCTCCCTCTTCCCCCCCCCCACCCCACCCACCCCCCAGCTACCTGCCGGTGCTGGTTGATTCGTCGCCGGAGGTGCTTTCTGCTGGGCCCGACGAGGCGTCCATTCTTGCTGCCCGGGAAAAGGTGAGCCTGCAGCTGCCAGGGAATAGGTGCGTGACACTACTTCCCTTTCATTTCTCATACCCCCACCCACCGGGCAACGGCACCCTCCAACGCGGGTTCGCACCTCGTGATCACCACCATCAGCATTCTCGTTCCGAACCCCCTTTTCCATCTCGCTAACGGCCTCGCCCTGGGCTGCCTGGCGAGCGTGCTGTCCATGCTGCTCACCTTCGCCATCACGCTGCTCATCCCGATTTCCTCAAGCTCCCATTCCCTTCCCTTCCCTTCCCTTCCCTTCCCTTCCCATCCCTTACCTTCCCTTCCCTTCCCTGCCCTGCCCTGCCCCCCTCACCACACCTCACATCTCCCCACCAAACCCCCAGGTGGAGTATCAGTCCTCCCTTACTGGGCGGCCTGGCGAGCGTGCTGTCCATGGTGCTCACCTTCGCCATCGCCCTCCTCGTCCCCTTCCCTTCCCCAATCCCCGTTCGCCCTCATCCCACACTCCTCCCCAGGTGGAGAACCGATCTTCCCTGACAGGTCTCGCCATGGGCTGCCTGGCCAGCGTGCTGCCCAGCGTGCTGCTCACCTCCCCATCCCATCCTCGCTGCCCCTCACCTGCTCATCCCGGCATCACCCACTCCCCAGGTGGAGAACCAATCCTCCCTAACCGGCCTCGCCATGGGCTGTGTGGCAAGCGTCCTCTCCATGCTGCTCACCTTCGCCATCACTCTCCTCATCCCCGACGACCTGCTCAAGCTGCGAGTCACCGTGGCCGTCTGCGGCCTCTGGTGGCTCGCGCTCTCCGCCTTCACCTTCGCCTGGCTGCACCCGCGGCCCGGCCCGCCCATGCCCAAGAAGGGCTTCTCGCTGCTCAACCGCTGGAGCCACCTCTTCCGCCTCTTCAAAGAGGCGTCCCGCTACCGCTACACCTTCATCTTTTTAATCTGCCTAGTGGCATACGGCAGCGGGTTCACCACGATGCTTCAAATGGCGGTCCTATTTGGGCAGAACGACCTCTGCCTGTCGGTCTCCTCCATGGCCATCGTGGCTCTGACGGTGGCCATGGTTGCGATCGCCGGCATGCCGCTCGCGCTGCTCTTCCAGCGCCGCACCAACGCCACCAACAAGACCATGGTCGTGATCCTCCTCGCGTGCCTAGTTCCCCTGCCCGTGTGGGGGTTCATCGGGTATTTCACCCCGGACGGCGGGTTCGGGCTGAAATCGGCCTGGGAGATCTACCTGTGTGCGGCTTGGCTGGGGTTCTTCCTGGGAGCGCTCACGTCGTACTCGCGCACGCTGTTCATCGACTTCATCCCGGTGGGCCGCGAGGGCGCCTTCTTCACGCTCTTCTTCATCTGCGACCGCATCAGCTCGTGCATCGGCCCCTTCGTCATTGCTGCTGTCACACAGGTCAGTGGGAGAGTGGTGTGGTGTGGTGTGGTGTGGGGGGTGGGGGAACCGGTTATTGACATGTTGGTATAAATGTGCTGTTACTTGTGGGGGTGTGCACAATTTGGCCAGATGCTGGCACAAGTATGTACTCTCACTGCAGTAGTCTCCCCGAGCTGATTGAAGTGTATTTTCCCTCACTGATGTCTTTCCCTCAAGCACTGAAAGCGCTCCTCCTCATGCTCGTTGTCCCCCCTATTCTTGTGTTTCCGTGCGTATCTCCCTTTGCTCAGGTGGGGGGTCAGCTCCGGCCGGTGTTTGGCTACGTCTTTATTGTGCTTCTCGTTCCTGCATTGGCCGTCCAAATCTTCATTAACTATGGTAAGGGTGTGGCTGAGGCTGGCCGAGCAAACAAGCATCAAGAGCAACTACAGGATGAGAGCCTTTACGACGCCAATCATTCTGAAGGCACACAATCGGCTCATGCAGAGCCGTGAAAATGACTAGTTGCGCATTTACAGGGTCTAAACCCTTGGGGTTTGGTTTGCTACATTAGTTGGTTGGTTCCTCACCAACGTTTTCCAATATTTATTATATATATATTAACCCTTTAACCGACTTCGTTTAGACAACATTCGTTTTGAGAATTTTACCGGTATTGAGAACAGCCCAGAAACGCGGACCCAAAACATTTGTTTTCACCATCACGCCCATCGCATTCCGACCGACCACACCACACCACATTCCGTTGGGCCCCCTCACCTCAAACCACAGGGGAATGTCGCGTCGCGCTTCCTGGAATGTGGTGATCCCGAGTCGCCCAAAACATAAAGTTCCCCGCACCTCTCAAATTGGCAAAATTCGGCATTTCACCATTCACCCTTCACCTTCCCCATCTCAATGCCTCTGACACCACAGCGCTCAAAACCCAAACCTGCACTCAGTCACCCGTGAAAATGGCAGAAGCGCAGCAGAGAAAAGAGTGCCATTCGCTGAAGCTGAGGAGCGCCGTCAGTCAGATGCTAGCGTTTAGGCTTGTCGCCGTCCCCAGGCAGCACCCGGTTCATACGTTTCGCCGGACGATGTGAGTTACTACAAGGAGTCACGAGCGCAGGAAGGCACTCGATAGACTCGGAGTCGTTCGTAGACCGCGTAACCATGAGAGAATCTCAGGAAATGGCCGCGTAACCAGGCACTCGATCTGTAGCGTCGCGACCCTTTCTGAACTGGCTGACTGGATTCGAGCCTCAGATAGGAGGATTCGAGTAATAGTAGAAACCTCAGCTCGTACTCGGACTTATCGGCGGGAATCGAGGTCAAGCGGCACAGGAGCTCATCGTCCAAGAGGGTCCCGTTTGAAACCTAGATTTCCGATTTTACGAAACATGGCGAAGGTCGCCCCCGTCCCCGTTATATTTTCGAGGCTGGAGTACACAGCCAAGGACGAATGCATGCGGCAAAAAGCCGCGAGCACGTTTCTCGATCTAGGCGACCCAGGCGGAGGCGGAGAGAAGCGCGCGGGCGCGCGGGGGGGAAGCTGCGGGGGAGACGCGGGAGGCGAGGAATACGCGGAGGGTTCACGAATTCCCTTAACGAAACGCGAGCTCTGGGGTTGGTACTCGTACAACGTGGCGGCGAACGCGTTCAGCGCCGTCGCCATGCCGATCTTCATCCCACTGCTGCTGCTCCTGCTCGCAGACGAACAGGCCTGGAAAGACTCGGGCACCGCCAAGCCACCGCAGTGCACCGATCTGATAACCGCCGACTGCCTCCAGTGCGTGCCGGGGAAGGGGAACCAGCTGGTGACGTCATCGGGGGAGTATGCGGAGCTGGCGCAGCCGCGCGCGCAGCTCGGCGCGCTTAGCATCAACCCCGTGTCGTACGCGACGATCGTGATTGGCGTGGCCGTGTGCTGTCAGATAGTCGCGCTCGTGTCGCTGGGACCGTTCACCGACTATGGCCGCGGCAGGAAGCAGGTGGGTGGAGGTAGTGAGACGGGGGGTAGTGAGACGGGGGATAGTGAGCCGGGCGGGTAGAATCTAATGGTTGGAGGCGCCGTTCGCCCACCCAGCCCTCTTCTTTACTTTCTCCGCACCGCCGCACTTGCTCTCTCTCTCGCTCCATCTTACCTCTTTCTCTCTCTCTCTCTCGCGCCACCTCACCCCTTCCCTGCAGATGCTGAAGGTGGGAACGTGGATGGGCGTGGCGGGCTGCTCCTCGCTGCTCCTCATGCTTTCCTCCTCCCTCTGGTTACTCGCCGGCCTCCTCGTCATCCTCGCCAGCGTCGGCTACGGCCTCGCCACCGTCAGCTACAACGGCTACCTGCCCCTCCTCGTGCACGCGTCCCCCGAAGTCCTAGCAGCAGAGGCGCGGGCCGTGGCCGCAGGCAACGAGGCAGCCGTCACAGCAGTCGCAGCCGTGGAAGCCACAGGCAATGCGACAGCAGTCCCAGCTGCAGGCGACGAGCAAAGCGTGGCAGCAGCACGTGAGGAGGTGGAGAACCGGTACTCGCTCGTCGGGCTCGCGGCGGGGTGCCTGGCCGACATCCCCATCACACTCATCGCCTTCGCGCTGACCCTCGTGTCGTCGGTAGACTCCGTCAAGATGCGCGTCGCCACCGCCTTCTGCGGCCTCTGCTGGCTGCTCTTCGCCCTCCCCACCTTCCACTTCCTGCGCTCCCGGCCCGGCCCTCCCCTCCCGCTTCCCCCCGCCCCCACCTCTGGAGATGGTGCGGGAGACGAGGAGGGGGGCAGGGAGGGGGGCTGCTGCTCTAGCTGTAGCAGGGCTTGCTGTGATAGCAGCAAGAACGGCCAGACTTGCATGACTTCCAAGGCTTGCAGCTACAGCTGGGGATCGTGCTACAGGCGGGCACGCCTCTTTCTCGCCATCGTTGGCGCGAGCTGGCAAGGCATGGGGGCGACTCTAGCCGACGCGTACCACCACCACCGCAATGCACTCATTTTCATCGCATGCTACTTTGTATACGCCGATGGGTTCTCCACCATCATCCAAGTGGGGGTCATCTTCGGCCAGCAGGACCTCTGCGTTCCGCCCGCTACCCTCGCCATCCTCGCCACCTCCGTCTCCTTCTGGGCGGCGGCCGGAATGCCGGTGGCCTATCTCGTGCAGAGACGAACCAAGTGGAGCAACAAGACGATGGCAATGATTGCACTGGGCGGCATGCTACCGCTCCCCCTCTGGGGGCTGGTCGGCTACTTCACAGATAGCTTCGGGTTGAAGCACACGTGGGAGCTGTTTGCGTATGTGGGGTGGTTTGGGCTGTGCCTGGGCCCGCTGCTGAGCTACTCGCGCACGCTGTACGTGGATCTGATGCCCACTGGCAAGGAGGGCGCGTTCTTCGCCATCTACACCATCAGCGACAAGGGCAGCTCGTCCTTCGGCCCATTCGTCGTTGCCATCATCGCTCAGGTGGGTCGCCCACTGTGCTTGCCAGGCTGGTCCACTTGTTACCCCCGTTGTTGCTCCAGGAAGCGGCTTGCTGTGTTGGGCGGCATGCAGTCAGCGGCAGACACATGGCATCCATTTGTGGCATTGCACTGCCTCTCATTTCCTCCATTTCTGCTGCGTCAGTGGCGTCGCTCACCACCACCTCAATCTCAGTCCTAATCACCTCCATCTTCCCTATCCCCTCTCCCTCCCTTCACCACCCCCCCTGGTTGCCTCCTGCAGGTTTCTGGCACGATCCGGCCCACCTTTGTGTACATATTCCTGGTCATGTTCATACCCCTTATAGTCGTCATCTTCTGCCTCGACCACAAGCAAGGCATTGAAGACGCGGGGCGCAACAGAGTTACAGCAACAAAATCCCTGGAGGATGGGGAGGAGGAGGCTCCTGCATATGGGGATGAGTCAGACGTCCACTCTAGTGATTCGGAAACTTTTCATAACAGTCTAGGTAGTGAAGATGCAGGGTAGGACATGCCACAGCTAGTGACATGTAGTATGCTTATTCTATCCCTATCTAGTCTGCAAGTTGGAATACACCTTTGTCACCATAGAAGAGGCATATGGAACTGTCACAAGGGTGCACTCATGCATTGCATAAATCAACTTCGTGTGGACATACCATACCATATTCAAGGTGTAAAGATAAGATAGGATGTGTTAGTAAAGGGTTCAGTACCATTCAGCACATACGGTACTATCCTGCCAGCATACAATGCCTTGCAAGTGTCTGGCAGCCCTAGTGTTCTTCTCTACATGGGCACAAGCCTTTAGGCATACAATATAAGCAAAAATACTAAGGGCCCCGTTCCCTAGCCCCAAAGATGCTATTGGTTTCCCAACATCCCCCCTCCCATCACCCCTCAGACCGCCCCAGAAACCACCTCCCATTCCCCACGAGCGCATCAATGTCCGACCACATCCCATCCCACCCGTCCGTCACCAGGCCACGACGATTCAACATTCGCCATGTGCCCATTCACATGAGCGCCTCCAGCGGCTTGCCATCGTCGAAGCATCCGATCAGCCCCGCCAGGAACTCCGCGTCCGCCAGCGTGTCAACGTCCTTTCCGCCCGCTACTCCCGCGCCAACAGCGCGTGGCCGCGCCAGCCCCGCCGCAGCAGCCGCGGTCACCCCGTTCGCCACCACCGCCGCATCCGCCGCGATCCTCTCCGCGTGCGACGGCGGCGCGGACGCGCCGGTGATCGCGCTGGGCGAGTGCGGGCCCTCCTCTTCCGACTCCTCATAACTCGACGACGCCGCTACTCTCGCGCGCTTGTTCCCCGCTCCTTCCACAGACTCCCCCCCAACCTCCCGCTTCCCCGCCTGCCCAACCTTCAGCGCAAACTCCCCGCTCCTCCCCGCATCCGCGGCCACATCCTGCGCCGCGTCAGCCGGCGGAACCCCCGCGCGGGTGAGCGCGTCGCGTAGCCGTTTGAGCTCGGTCTGCAGGCGGTCGTTGCTCTCCTGGAACTGCTTGATGTGCTCGGTCGCCTCGTTGAGTCGCCGCGTCACCGCCGCGTTCTCCACGCGCAGCTTCGCGCTCTGGATCTCCAGCTCCTCGAGGCGCTCCTGCTTCCGCTGCCGCGACCGCTTCGCCGACGCGCGATTCGACATCATCCTGCGATGGCGAGGAAAGAAAGAACGGACGGACAGACGGAAAGCCCGGTCAGAATCCTGCGATCAGAATGCAGCGTCCCAAAGACAGGGAAGGAGTAATAACCGGTCACCAACTCGGCTAATCGAGCCCGCGGAGCCTCACCTCTTGTGTTTCTTGGGGTCGAGGTCGGCGAGCTCCTCCGCGGTCATGCCGTCCATGCTCATCGCGCCCATGTCGCCCGCGTGGAACTCCATCTCCTGCGGCACCCCCAGCGGAATGCCCTGCGCCATCCCTTGCGCCATCCCTTGCGCCATCCCTTGCGCCATGCCCTGCGACATGTACCCCAGCGGGCCCTTCGCCGCCAGCACTTGCGCCGGCGCGGACATGGCGTGCGCCGGCGGCCAGGTCATGGTGAACATCTGCTGCGGCGACGGGGCGTGCGGGGTCGGCGGCTGCATTTGCGGTGGTTTGGGGAGCGCGGGTTGGGAGTGCTGCGGGAGCAGCCACTGCGCTTGAAGCGGCTGGCGGGACTGCATGGCGGCGAGTGGCGATGGGTCGGTCGGCATCATACCGTACATTCCGGCGCTGCCGGCAAATAACCTGGAGCAGGGAGACAGACGGGAGAGGGAGCGGACTAAGCGTTTAAATCTCAAATACTGGGAGGCCAAGCTGGGTGTTGCTGGTGTGTCCCGGAGCAGGGCGAAACTCAACCGAAATGAACCGAGACTTGCTAAGAGAACGTATGGCTGCCAGAGCGTGTCGCTTACCGTCCGCCAGGAGCAGTCAGGGGATTCCAGTTCCAAGAAGCGCCGTACGCGGCGCCATCGTCAATCTGCTGAGCCCGCCACCGGGCGTCGATCTCCTCCTCCGTTTCGGAGTGAGCGGCGCCGGGCACAACATCAGGCGGCCGACACATGGTGACTGACAAAAAACGGCCGGCAAAAAAAACGGCGGTTCAGGTGGGATGCCGGAAGTCTTAAAATGTGGAAGCGTAGGCTATAGTTGAACTATTAGATATTGCTGTTTCGCTGGTCGGTGTTCGAGATGTTCCTGACTTGTTGGACTAGCTGGGCGTTGTGAAGGGACGTTGGGCCAACAGGACGCAAGCGGAAGATTCAGGTGTAAGGAGAACAAGGGCAAGTTTATCCAGCAAAGCAGACAGCGATTGTGAAAACAAGACAGCGCTGCAGAGCAGCTCGTGGGGAAATGCAGAATGAGGTGGATGCTGGGGAGGCTGGGGAAGCCTGGCGCTGCTCCGCCAAGCTTGCCGAACAGGCGTGGGCTGGTTTGGGGGGCTGGTTTGGCGGGGAGTGCAGGGGGGAACGCGAGAACTGAGCCAACTGACGTGACGTGACGAGAGGGAAGGGGAGAGGAAAAGGGGGACCACTCGTTGTCGGGGGACCCGGAGTGGGGGGGATGGTGGCGGGGGTGCGTTTGTGTGCGGGGGATGGGATGGGAGCGTAGCGCAGGATCTTCTCCATCCAGCTCTCCTCTCCAGCGCGTCAGAGTGGCTGGCAGAGACTGGGTGTGCGCGCGTGGTGTGGTGGACCACCTTGTGCGGAACGAATGACCGACTTCCCCAACTTGACTGACCCACCCCACCTGGTTGGAAAATGACTAGGAAACTGCCTCACGGAGCAGTGATGCTCCGGGATGTGCGTGTGAGGCAGTGCTGACGACGGCGCAATCGCGCGTGCCATGATGAAATGCCAGCAGAACAGCCTGGTTCTTCGGAGGCACGCGTCCGATTTGGAAAGCGACAGCCTGGCGCGTCCCAGGACGTCCCATAGTGTCCAACTTGCCGCCTTATCCTCAGAGCACAAACAAAGTTAGAAGATTCGCGCAGCAGCATTTCGAAACTTGGGAAACCCATGTTTGTGGACTGGAAAGTTTCCGACATGCCTATTTCAAATCCCGAAAACTTCGTCTCGGAAGTGCTGCAGAACAATGGAGCTGCCATTCACAAAAACGGTTTGATTTTCATTTGCGCAATCACGTGCGAAGGAAGGAGGCAAAGCACATTGGGAATAAATAGTGCACAACGGTCAGGATAAAAGGATTTTAATGATCACACGTGATTTGGGACGCCATCGGCTTGTGATCTCGTTCATTCTGTTGCGTCACGGTCTTTTCTGATTGGCGATAGAAATGACGTGGATTTATGTGCTGGAAAAGCACCATCACATAATGATGCGCTCTTGTACCGTTCTGTACTCTACAGAACAGCAGGGGCCAAGAAAAGGGACTTGAACACTACAGGCATGTGTGAATCATCTACAGGTTTCACCTCCCGATTTTATGAATCTAAAAGAAATGTTGCTCACTACAGAACCACATACTAACATGTGTTATGAATTATAACTCGGATAATAGCGCAATATTCAATCAGGGGAACATGCCTACAGAATGTCGATACAAATGAGGCCTAGGGAATATATAGGGCGATGACCAGGGTTGAATGTCGATGGTTGGACCAGTCAAGGGCCGAAAGTCCCGAGGGCGACGAGGGCGAAATGGGTTGGGGACGACTCGGGGGATAAGGATGGGGGGCGAATAGGTCGGTGGGTCCTGGTTTGGTGCGAGAACCGAGGGCCGAGGCTGCGGACCCGAAGGTTTAGTGTGTATTCGCTGAAGCGAGCCACAGTAAGGAATGGTAATTCCTTACACTCTTCAACCTTCTAAAGAAGGCACACCCAATAATTGAGATTGAACATTTTTATCTAGATAACCCCTCGAAATTACTGTAGATCTTTAGTCCTGTAACGAGCGTCATGATTACGCCGGCCTGACGAGGTCTTCAGATCGAAGTGCAATCAAGGGTCAGAAAACGTAAAAACTATCGCTTTTAATCATAGCCGCCGAAGATGGACGAGTTTCCAAGTAAGAAAATTCTATAATAATTGAAACAAGGGAGTACAGGAGAGATATAGTGTTGGGGTTGTACCCACTAAGAACATACACCAATCTAGTCTATAACTTAAATATAATATCATATGTATAAGTTGACACACCCCCTAGGCTAGATAAGGGTTAGTGCTGAGCAAGAAACAAGCAGCTCAGGACGGCACTACTAGTCCAACCTCTTAGGCAGGGGTCCGAAGACCAGTCAGCAAGATTACAAACAAGACAAGAGCAAACCAGGGCGGCACTACTAGTCCGACCACTGGAAATGCAGCCACAAGGTTAGTCAGGAAAGTATAAACATAGAGGAGTACACAATCAAGGTCATAGCAAGTGAGAAGCTACAGGAACTAGACCAAGCTGCAAACAGTGCTGCTGATGATCTTTAGGTGCAAGCGCCATAGTAAATATATCAGCTGTATTGGCACCGGAGGCCAAGTGTACTACGCGGGCCTGGCGACGCTGCTAGAGCTCGCACAGAAGGAAGTACCGCACCTGGATGTGCTTCGCTCTGCCCTCAAATCCAGGCTCCTAACACAGGAGGATCATGGCCCTGTTGTCAGCGTACAGGACCGGGGCAGAGCTAGGCCGCTCACCTAAGTCGGCGAGCAAGAACATCAGCCAGCGGAGCTCCTGTGCCGCCATGGCACCTGCGGAGATTTCAGCCTCACAGATCGACTGGGCAATAGACGAAGAGCGAGTGGACCTCCAAGAGATGGCACCTGAATCAAGGCTAAAGTAGTAGCCTTGGGAGGACCTGAGGGTCTCAGCGTCGTTTGCCCAAGAAGCGTCTGTGTGTCCAGTAAGGACCACTGGCCTTCGTCCTCCCAGCACTAGCCCCATGCCCGATGTACTCGCAAGATAACGCCAAACCCTCATTGCGGCCGACCTGTGCTGGGGTCACTGTCTGCCTGTGGCCACAAAGCCAGCCAGGATGTTGAGAGGGTATGCAAGATCTGGACGAGTGCAAGTCATCGGGTACATGAGGTAACCTACCAGCTCTGCGTAAGGACCACTAGGCTCTGCTGACTCCTCAGGAATTGGAGCAGAGAGCCTGTGATCTACCGGCAGAGGTGTGGGCTGTGCGGAGGAGAACTGAAGACCGAACCTATGAAGGACCTAGCACACCAAGTGTGACTGTGTAAGAGTGATGGTGCGCGGTGCTCTGTCCCTGGAGATCTGCAAGCCAAGGTAGCGGCGCAACTCTCCCAGGTCAGTGCAGGTGTGTCTCCTCAGCAGCTCGGCCTTCACGGAGGCCAGCGCGTCTCTGTCTGCAGTAGCAAAAACCAGGTCGTCTACGTAGACAAGGATGTAGAACGGAGTCAGGCCAGCACGAAGGAAGAGCGAGGGGTCTGCAGAGGACGGGAAGAACATCAGGTCAGCTAGTGTAGCACGCAGCGTGCCGTGCCACTCACGGAGCGCCTGACGCAATCCGTAGACCGGGCGCCGGAGGAGCCACTGGGTCTCAGGAGGAAAGGTAAAGCCCTGAGGACGTCGCAGGTAGACCTGCTCATGTAGGCTGCCCTGAAGAAAAGCAGTGGAGAAGTCGAGGGAGTGAAGCTCGTAGTCACGGTGTGTTGCTACGTGTAGCATTGCCCGAAGAGTGGTCATCTTCGGGGTCGGGGCGAAGGTCTGAAAGAAGTCCACCCCCTCACGCTGACTGAAACCTCGAGCCACGGAGCGCGCCTTGAACATAGGCGGCTCTCCACGAGGGCGCTTCACCTTGAAGAGCCACCGGCCATCGACTACGTTCACCACAGGTGGGTGAACTACGTCGACGTAGGTGCCGGTGGATCTCCAATATGCCATCTCCTGCTTCATGGCAGCTATCCACTGAGAGGCCCCGGGTCACGAGGTCGCCTCAGCGTAAATGCAAGGGGTGGGGATGTGAAATGCGTCTGGGTAACCCTCAGGAAGTAGCAATATGGAACAGAGATGGGGAGCAACGTCGAACAGGAAAGCAAGCTCCCCATCTCTGCCAAAAGAAAGAGCACCCCCGATGGACGGAGGACGGGCAGGGTAGAAGACCAGCGCGGTGGCGTAGTCAAGGTGGCGGGTAGAGGCGAAGTCATCGACAGCAACGACAAGAGCGTCAAGATGCGAGAGAGGAACAGTCGGGTCGGTAACAAGGGTGGCAAGGACCCGAGGAACAAGAGGATGGGCAGCACGCAACTAGTTAGACAGAAGGGGAGGCGCAATCGCGAGCGACGACGCATGAGGCGAAGGTAGGAGGGAAAGTCGAGATGCGTGGGAATGAAGCAACATAGGGTGAGAACACTGGACAGGGGAGACATGACAAGCATGAGGCTGACGACGAGACCAGACGTGAGACAAGGGCATCAGGTCAGGAGACAGAGGAGGAGTAAAAGGAGGAGAACGAGGTGGGAAACGAGCCGAAGACGAGTTCGACGGAGGAAACACAGGACCGTGGACAGGAAGGGGAGGAGGCGGCGTTGGAGGCACAGGCGAGCGGTCAGGGGAGGAAATGCCGAGCAAACGGAGCGCGGTCACCGGCGGCGACTGCTGCTGTTGCTGCTGCTCGACGCCGACACCTGGACCACCAGAGCAAGAACCCTCTCCAACACCGTTGCCACCCCAGAGCCCGCTGGGACAAGCCACGACAGGAACCCCAGGACTAGCACCCTCAGAGGCCACGAACAGCTGCTACCGCTACTGCGGCGGCGGCGGTTGCGACAGCGGAGGGGAAGACACCGATGGAGAGACGAGCGGCAAGAACTGTGCCGTTGGGCCACAATACTCAGCCGGCTCCTCGACCAGGAGAAGCGACGGGAGGGGAGTGACGTAAGACATACCAGACGGAGTAGGACGGGGAGGAAGGTGAGCAGGGGCTTTCGGGTGAGTGGGGACCAGAAACAGGGGAGGGGTAACCAGGAGACCTCGGTGGGGAAAGCGATGGTAAAAGGGGACAGACTCGTTGAAGGTGACGTCGCGGGAGTGAAGGAAGCGGTGAGACGGCGGGTGGTAAAAGTGCCAATCAGACGAGTAAAGGGGGGAACCGAGGAAGACACAGGGGACAATGTGGGCTGTGAGCTTGTCCGTGCCAGAGGTACGGACGTGAGCGAATGGAATGCGGACGCGTCACCAGGGAACGTGGTCCAAAGTAGGGTCGGCGAAACCTGCGGCCGCTGAGAGCGCGTCCAGAGATTAAGCTGGTGAGCGGCATAGCGAACGGCGAACGTCCACAGAAAATGGGGTGCACCGGCATGGATCATGGAGGTGCGCGCCACATCCCTGACCAAGCCGA